GTCGTCATTCAATCTATGGAACTGGTGAAGATAGGATCGTTCTAGATATAGGAAGTTTATATATAAAAGCCGGATTTAGCGGTGAATCTAGGCCAAGACACATTGTTCCTGTATTTGCTGGCAATATGAAGACACACTGGGATCCAGATTTTAACGGAAGTGGAGGTGTTGTGAAAGCTTGTGGAGAAGGCTGTAGAATTATTGGTGAGGTAAGATACGTGATTTTGAGAATATTGTAATTTCAAGTTTAACGATTTTCTTCGAATGATCTACAGTTTGCTGAATTATTCGACTTAGAAATCGGAAAGAATCCTGATGAATTGGATGCTTTATATGATCGCTTGGCACATTATTTAAGAGAAATTTATTTCAGGTATGTAAAGAATTCAAATTACGATTATTTACCATACTCTTTCACGTATTTTCTTGACTTTATCATTGTCCTTAAACCTATTTTCAAGGTACCTATTAACAGATCCTAAACAACGCAAAGTTGTATTATGCGAATCACCTATGATGCCTTTAAAACTGAAGCAACTGATCGCAAAAGTATTGTTTGAAAATTTACAGGCATGTAACTTTTCTTTATATGATAAATATATCCTATCCAAAGTTATGGCTATTAATACTATTTTATTATTTTTTATTATTTAATTGTAGGTGCCATCTATTTCTTTCGCTCCGTCACATATGTTGGCCTTGTTAACTACAGGCTGTACGACTGGTTTGGTAATAGACGTTGGGCATTTAGAAACAACTGTACTGCCAGTAAGTTTGCATAAATTTGATCTATCTAAATCTTTTATATAAAATTAAAATTATTCATTTAATTATAGACATTTTCTGCACGGCCTTTGACACCCTTTATTCGTACAACTCCCTTAGCGGGCCGTGCATTAACACAACGGCTCAAGGAGTTGATTTCTACTTATGGTGATATGATGATTCCACCTGAGAATAAAGTAGAACCTGTTCGTGCTAAATACCTTACACCTGCTGTACTTGAAGATATAAAAACTCGGTTTATTTTTGTAAGTCCAATAACGGTTGAAGCAACAGCTGGAGTGGCTGAAAAAACGTTAATCGAAGATATGGAAAAGAAATATGCTACAGTTTGTTCTGCAACTGATGTGTCATATCCTATCACTATAAGCAAAAGTGGACGAGATCGACAAATGGGAACTTTAATTATACCTGGTTGGATTAGGGAACGTTGTGCAGAAGTTCTTTTTGAAGGGGATGAAGATGAATCTAGTATAGTTGGATGTGCACTCGAGTGTTTGTTAAAGGTTTGTATTAAGTTTCGATAATTCTTAAATAATTGCATACAATATGAGGATTTTACTAAGCAAGCAATTTATTCATTAATAAATAACTAGACACCAATTCATCTCCGTCGCCCTCTTTTTTCTTCAATTCTTCTCATTGGTGGCACTACCTTACTTCCTAATTTTCAGCAAAGGTTTGCACAAGAAGTTCTTCGTGCTTTGAATAAGGATCGAAGGTTTAAATCTTTAAGTGGACTTGCAGATCATTTCGAATTTTTAGAAGACGGTGGAAGTGGTAAAGTTTTTGTAGCCAATTGTCGAGCTTGGGTTGGTGGTAAAGTATTTTCAAATTAATTTACATTTAAATGTCGCGCTTTTATTGATAATAAAAACATTGCTCATCGAATTTTTACTATTTCAGGTTCTCTAATTGGATCACTCAAATCTACTGTTGTTGAAATCACTAGAGAGAAATATACAGGAGAAGTACCTGATTGGACGACACCAAATGTTCCATCAACTACATCATAAATTTATATATTCCGCAACAAAATGCAAAGTGAATTGTTACTATATCTTAATAATTATCAATAGCAAAATTTGAGTTCTGAATTTATCAATATTTTGTCATCATAGATTTAGTTTACAAAACCCATTTAATTTTTGATTGCATATGTACTTAACCCTTATTTAATTAAACAATTAAATATTCATGTACAGAAAATTTTAAATAACCAGTGGGTTTCACATAATATATAAATATCAAATTATTGGGTCCGTAAAATGACACTAATAATCTTGGTTATTTAAATATGTGGTATGATAAAATGGTTTACGTTTTTTACCTATGTATCATACGATTGTTTACAAAGTGCTAAAATAAATTCTAAAAGTTTAAAGTATGTAACAAATCTTTTATTATGGATTTCTTTTTTTTTATGGATCTTTAAAAACCTATTAAGCAAAAAAAATATAATATTCAACCTGTATTTGATTAAGGATTCAACATCATATCAACATCCATTTCTGAACCTACATCCAAACTTGAATTACTGTCTCTTCGTTGTTTCTGGCGAGTTGTCGTTCGTTCAAAATCATCAGTATCTTCATGCTTTATCCGCATTTCTGAACCATACTCGTCTTTAGTATGATCATGTTGGCAATGATCAATTAAATATCTGCCTAAAAATTCACACGGATCCGCCGGTCTTTGATAATACAATATTTCAGTTAAAAATAAATAAAAATCATAATCAAATTAAATTATAAAACATTCTTAAGAGTTTATATGAAATCGAATTATGAAAATTTCCTACCTTTCTCTAACAATTTTTTTTAGTCCTGCCATAAGACTAGGTACAACGGTTTTATTCAGATAATCTCGAACTGCTGTATTATTATGCGGATGACGCATATTTAATCTTTGTATTTTATCTCTTTCTTCATCAACGACTTCCCCAAATTGATCATCGAATTTTAAAGGTGATGGCTGGTCTTCTGTCGCAGACGGATCCTCTCCAGTTATATCAACTTCAGGTTCTTCACGTTTAATAGGTGACTGACTATCAGCATTAAGTATATCCTTCATATAGAAAAATGATATATTGGTTTAAATAGTAATCAAAAAAATATTAAACTAACTTGTGGAGCAAAATTTGTTGAAAAATATGAAATAGTTGAAAAACGTAACTAACCCGAATACTTCTTACCGCACCAATTCCATGTTGACCATTTTCATACTCGTTATTGCTCGTTTCTGCTGGTGAGGAATCTGTGTACATTGAATCGTCAGCAGAAGGTGCATACATATCATATCATTGACCGTTGCCAAAGGCTATAATTCCGATGAAAGGGTAACGTCTGTTTCTTGTTTTACTTTTATGTTATTCGAGTTATGCATTAAATA